CAGCAGGACTTGGCAGTCACAATGATTCAAACTCTCCCACAGTGTCTATAGCATGAGATGCACTTTGAGGGGAAAAAAAAAAAAAAGTAGAGCAGAGGAGCTGAAACTTCCTATCCGAGTTGAGTAAATGTAAATTTTTACTCTGAAACGAGATATCCTTCCATGACAATAGGACAAAGGAAAACTGCCACAAGTGGGAGGTTTGTAGGATAAACAGGTCAAGCCTACCAAGGAACACGCCTCAGAAAGTGATCTTTCAACATGGGAAGTTGCTAATAAATTCTCTCAGGTTTTTCCTCCCATCTCTGTGGCAATCCACAGCAAGTCACCATTAGTCACTAAAAGTATTAACCAACTCGGATGAGAATTTGCTTGACCTAAAATATCATTTCCTTTGTGCTACTTAACCAAAGATGAAGAAATTATGCAATGAATGTCTAAAACACCACTTAAAGTGTTCACTGAATTAAGAAAAACAAAAACAAATAAAACCACAAATAGGATGGCAAAGTTTCCAGGTCCAGCCATGGAGACAATTCCAGGAGACTTATTTGCATACTGCACACATCCGTGAATGACCAAAATGCCCTCCAAATTCTTGGTGAAGACGAATAGATACTTTTGTTCTTTCCTGATCTACTAAAAGCATGACTTTTTCTTTATTATTTTTTTTTCCTTTTTAGTTGCGGACTCGAACAATTACTGAACTGAAATAGAAAGAGAAGGTTTTACATTTTTGTCAGAAATCAGTGAGTGTTGGCACAAGCCCTATCTCCAGAGACTAATGAACTTTTCTTCAAACCCCAGTTAAGCCATGGACCTTGGCTGGCTCACTAGTCGGTCATGTGGAGCTAACAGCTTTTACAGGAGTAAATTGAGGTTGACAATGTTGAGAAAATAGGCCATAATTTTTGCTGCATTTGGTACTTCATGAAAGTGATCTTTCACTCGTTTGAATAACATGTGGTTCATATCAAGAGAGAATTAAATGAAATTTTCATATTAGCCACAGAGAAATATGTGTATATCTTTTTTTCTTTCAGAAATGAAGAGCTCAAAGCCAGCTTGCGAACCACACCAACAATCAAAGTGATGGTGAAAGATAGCTTGGCAGTTGAAACAGAAATTTAACCACATCTCTCACTGGGATCATTTATCCAGAAATACCATCAAACTGCTGTTCTTCCTAGAAACACTGATGGCTTCCACGACAAGGGAAGAGCTGACAAACATACTGTCTCTGGGGCAGAGGAAAAATAGACCCCATACAAAATCAAAAGGGGAAGATGCCTCAAAGTTCACATAGAACTTCAGTCTGAAGGATTAATTTTGCAGAGAACAGTACCAGCAGATACCTTCACAAGCTAGAAGATGTCTGCTTTCCATTTCTGCCCTATAGCTCCTTTGGACTATACACTTTTCATGCTTCAGCTAAGTGCTGCAATGGACCAAACTTTCTTTGTGCCAGAGAAAAAAATTGCTAACACTCCATTACTTCTAAGCTTCCCAGAGTTTGACAGCTTTTTTTTTAACAGACAGGGAGCAATCCAGAGAGCTGCAGTGCAGATCACTGCAATGCAAACAAGCATGCCATACTCCCTATAAGGACTTGGCAGGCCTCCCAAGGGGACATCTACTGTAATTCAGGTGGTATTTTCCCAGCCACAAAAGAGGAGCTAAAGCATGGCTCCACAAGCAGATTACGTTTGCCTTGTCATTACAAAAACTCATCTCAAAACTTTTACATACTCCGGGCTACTTTGATAGCATGTTCTAACAAGAGCTCCAGGCCTTCCTTATGCAAACACGTCAGTATGCCACCACTTAAGCATTGCCAGTGAGAAGAATGAAACTCCCAGTGACACAGAACAATGATGAATGACAAAGCTCTCAGTTCCATCCCATACTGCTACCAGCAGCCACTACCCTGTGTGGTGCAGGTGGAAATGTGCACTCTAGCAACGTGTGAGTAAGAGCGACTGCTCTGGTGCCCTGTCTTTGTTAAACATTTGGAACAGATAAAAAGGAAAATCTTTGGGAAGAGGATTAGTGCTATTTGCTTTGCATTCAGTCAACCACCAAACCATATTTTCAGTCTCAATTTTCTGCTGCCTTTGGGCAAGAAAAGGCCAGGATTATCTGGTCTGTTCCTTTAAGGATGTTGAATGTGAGCCAGCGGGAAGTGTCCTCAGAGGTGGTGTCCTCAGAACAAGTTGAGCTACTAGAACAGGGCAAGCAAGGAAGCAAAATAGAGTGCAGAAGCTGCAATTCACAGAGGACAGCTGAAGAAAGACTGTAGATCCCAAAAGGGGACCTTTCCTGTGGAAACAAGAAAAGAGGGGCTCAAGCACACAAGGTATGATTATATACTAGCTTTGGAAATCAGAAATCCAACAGTGATGAAAGAAAGATGGAGGGGGAGGAGATTACTTTGGTCGGGAACTGTAGGGCCAAGCTAGGCTGCGTAGGAGAAGAGCTGGTGGCCAAGTAAGAAATGACAGAGTGTACTGGGAAAACAAGAAACAGGTGGTTTTTCTGCAGCTACACACCAAAGCTTTTCAGCAACTCTCCAAAACTCAAGAAAAACGTAGAGTTATAAAAGATAAATTGATTGTGAGGTGAATAAATGAGAGCCTTAAGCATGAACACACAGATTTTGATGTCAGAGGTTTGTGATTATGAATGCAGAAAGAAGCAATGGTATCAGTGGCTGGCAGAGCCAAGCTGGGGCTGCAGCAGTGCTCTTTGTGATTCTGGGGTGCAAGGTGAGTGTGCACACTGCTGCAAAGAGAGAGGTACTCACCCCCTGCTCCCCACAGACAGCAGGCTGTCCTCACAGGACACAGTGCCCCTAGCACTTCCTGGCTCTGCAAATCTGTTAAATCGAGTGGGAAACTTCTCATCTGAAGTATCTGTAGTCATGCAAAGGTGCCTCCAATAGTAAGCCTGCAGAAAAAAACTACGTCTAACCCCGAACCATGCATGTGTTGGAAAAGAAAGGATGCTCATACCAGGGTGCACGTGAAGATTTACTTGTATACAGCTCAACACAGAGATTGCTGCATGAGATGTTATTGCCTTACCACAAACGGCCAGTGTCAGACATGCAGGTCACAGCATTGAGTCCCAGGAAATGCAGAAGTCTCTGGACTCCCCAGAAGTCTGCCCATGTCCCACTCACATCTGAAGATGTGGGATATTTTGAAGGGTCCATGAAATCTGCCACACTTTCACTCCATGTGGCCTACTGGATACAGAACAAACCCAGGAGTCAAAAGAGACAGGCATATTGAACTTGAGAATCTAGTTTGAAAAAGGAAAAGATACAAACTGGGTAAGTCATAGATCTACCCTCTATTGATGCTCTGCATTGAAGTGCTAGAAATGCTTTTCAGCCCCTCTTCCTGATGCCTGTCTCAGAATCTTTGTGTGCCACATGAAGCATCCATATGGGGCCAGGGTGCTGTAAGGCATTAAAGGTTATTACGGAAAAGAAGAGTAGGAGGATGTTTTAGTGACCAGTTTAGGCAGAGCCCAAAATGGTCCTTGCCAAATCCACATTCACAGCACAAGTAACTCCCCAACAACAGGGAATGTCTTTCAGAATTTTTGAAATGTCTTTCATTGAATTCTCTGGATGTATCGCAAATTTTTATCGAGCACATAATTTCTTTGCTGGGCTCATCTTGCCCTCTAGTGGTCCACACTACAGAGCTGACATACAGCTGTAATTTCTGCTGTAAATCTTGCAACATTTATGCAGAAGTTGTGCATAAAATGAAATAATTCCAATTCTGTTTGATTTGCACTGTTTCTATGTGCATCATTAGGAAAATCTGAAGTCGTGATATGAAGTTATACAAGATGTAAAATGCTTGCTACCTCATACTTTACATTTCACACCCCAATTAACTTTTGTACCCTATGAGAGGATCCTCCATCCAGCCAGCCTGGAGTGACGCTGTCAACGCATGCACAAATATTTTTATTTGTTTTGGAAGAAACCTTCCTCATTTTTTATTTTTTTTTAATCTTAATTTTTGAGGAAAATGGTGCCCACGAAATACTTCTATTTTAAGACGAAGACAATATTTTGCCTGAAAAAAATTGTTAGGAAGAAAAACAGAGATGACATCGAAAACAGAGCGACAGAAATAGCATCTAGAAACAGGAGCCCTACAGAGGGCTCCAAAAGATAAACTGCATAAGTTTAGATTCCTAATATTGTTTAGATCAACATGAATATGGAATGTAACTTACACTGTACTCATTTCTTCTGCATGCTCCCAAATCATACCCATTTTCATTTCTCTGGGGCTCTATCCAGCAAAGTTGCAACAAGATTTAATTTATTCCTTAAGTCTCGGCTAGAGAAAAGAGCTGAAATATCTGCTTCATTTCACTTTAACTGCTATATTTAGTAACCACAAATGTTTTTTTATAGAGTGAACATCGGAGGCCTGCATCCAAACTGATGAAATCTAAGTACTTCTAACTGAGGATCTAGGTTTACATCTTTTCAGTATTTGTTAGTGACTGACCTTCTGGGCTCCAGTTCTCCATAACAGGAAAGCCAAACATCTTGGGGTGGAGGGGCAGGGGGGAGGGAATGGAGAAAACCAGTGATTACAAAATTAGAAAATAGGTTTTTTATTCAGCAAGGTGCTCAGTTGAGATCAGCCATGATGTCAAAGAATCACAGTAAGCAGCTATCTTCATCTAGGAAAGCTTTTCCTGTGGTTAGCTTGCTCAGTACAGAATGAATGACAGTGTAATTTGCCTCTCATTTACAGATCTTCCAAATCTTTATACACTGTCAACAGAGAAACAGCAGAGGTATGTACAGAAAGCTTTTCACTTTTGAGTGAAGAAAGATGTTTTCCAGATGCCAACATTTAAAGAACACTACTTAACACAAGAAACCAGAAAATATAATGAATAATAAAACATCTTTGTGTTTTGGGCAGTGCCAGCTAAGAAACCTCCTCCCCAGCTTTGCCATGGGCTGCTGGAAAAATAAGGAAAGCGACACCTGGACTTTTCCCACCCTGATCCTCTGCCTCTATGGATTCTTCTACATGATGAAGCCATCAGAGCCTTTTCTAACCCCTTACCTAACTGGATCAGATAAAAACCTGACAATAGATGAGGTATGATTTTCTCTGCTTTTTGTGTTCCACTGAGAACATGAAATTAAATGTAGAACTTTACACAAAGTTTTAAACAGCCTTGGCAGGTTACAGTTTGCAGGTGGCATAAATGAAAAAGATAAATAAATGAAATACATTTATTTTCATAAATGAAATACACATAAACAGGGTTTGTAAAACTTGAGATTCAGTACTCTGTTTAACAGACTCATGATGCTTCAGAACAGACTGTTTCTATATATGACATTTTTTCATCTCTTCTATAAATCAATTTAAATAAATGAACTTATTTTCACCAAGAAGAATTAGACTACTTCTTCACTTCCAGGTTACCAACCAGGTTTTCCCAGTGTGGACATACTCCTACCTCGCGCTCCTCGTCCCCGTCTTCCTGATCACTGACTACGTGCGCTACAAGCCCATCCTCCTCCTCCAGGGCATCAGCTTCATTGTCACGTGGCTCCTGCTCCTCTTTGCACCCGGGCTGGTGGCCATGCAGGCGATGGAATTCTTCTACGGGATGGTGACAGCCACTGAGGTTGCCTACTACGCCTACATCTACAGCGTCGTCAGCACTGATCACTATCAGAGAGTGACGAGCTATTGCAGGAGTATCACTCTCATTGCAGCCACCCTTGCTGCCGTGCTGGGACAGCTCCTGGTTTCCTTAGCAGACGTATCCTACTTTCACCTCAATGCCATTACTCTGGCTTCCGTGTCCCTGGCCTTCGTGTGCTCCTTTCTCCTCCCAATGCCTCAAAAGAGCATGTTCTTCCATAGGAAAGGCAGCTCAGAAACCCTCCCACAACCAGACAGAGTTGTGGCTGGGCTCAGTTCCAACGCGTCATTGAGCTGCCAAGAGGACCGGGACTGTGCAGCTGCTGACACGGGACCGAACCCAGCGCAGCAGGCTCAGCAGCCCGAGCCCCAGCACCACGTGCTGAGAGTCCTGGTGCAGCTGGGCAAGGACCTGAAGGATTGCTACAGCTCTAGGAAGCTTCTTTACTGGTCCCTGTGGTGGGCTTTGGCTACTGCAGGCTTTAACCAAGTTGTGAACTACATCCAAGTGCTGTGGGATTTCCGAGCTCCATCTCACAGCTCTGCAGTGTACAATGGAGCTGTTGAAGCAGTGGCAACATTCCTGAGTAAGTTACATTCTAAGCATCAATCAAAGGTTGCCTCAAAAGTTTTACTTTAGAACATTTTTTCAGTTCTTTTTCATTGCAGATGCTGCAGGAAAGCAGTATACAGGTTGTGCATTCAAAATGCTGTTTCTGATGTACAGAACAGTGCACATGTGAGCAAAGCTATTATTCTATACAACTGCGGCAACAAACTTTATACGACTGGTATGCAGAGAGCATAAATCCCATGAATCTTACATTCATTTGAAGGCACACATGCCTCTTTTGACAGGGTTTTGAATTTTGTTTTCTATTCTCTCCACAGCCTCCCTGCCAACCAAGTAGCTCTACAGTTCCCATAGCAATAGCATAAAGATGAGTTTTCCATAAATATTTTACACACGAAGAGAGTACACCTCTCATTAAGAGTTGTCTCTAGTGAAACGTTCTTGCACAGCAGGAAGCAAAGAATTTCAGTCATTTCAAGATATGGAGGTTTACAGGAAAAAGTGCTTACTCAGTTCGCAGTGGTACTGATGTTAACAATTACTCTTGCAGCAGGAGCAGATGTCCACCCTGCACAAGCAAAGTAACGTTATCCAAAGGCAACGTAAGAGGATACCACTCCGACTTGGCAGCATTTCACATTCATATTGTGCTGCTGTAGAAGTGATTGGGACGTGATCCAATAGAAAATTTAAATATATCTTCATTGTAACTGGCCATTCACTACCCTTACTGTCATTAAGGAGAACCAAATACTTCTAAGTTTAAAAATTACTCTCATATGAAGGTAGGCAGCTAACATAGACCAACTGAATGATGCAGTAAAAACACTTAACTCCTATGTGCCTACTCCATGAAGAATACATCTTCTCATGGCAATGCTTAGTTCTCATTGCAGAGGTTTTTAAATTGTATGAGATCCCATAAGATGGTAATTTGGATGGCTTACCTTCAAAATAGACGTGTTTTTGTAGGAAACCCACCGAGATCAAATAGCACCTACCCTTTATCTCTTTTTTTTTTTCTTGAGTATATTCACTTGATATTTTACAGAAGTCCTCCTTTTTTGGGTGTCTTAACTCCTTATTGAGCTGCACAGACCTAAACTATTGACCTTGCTAGCTTGTCTATAGCGTAAGCTCATAGAAAATGGAAGAATTGTTCCTCAAGCTCCAAACAGCATTCCTAAATCTCTCCCTAGAAGCGCATGCTGTATACACACAAATAATGAATCCTTACACAGAACAGCTTCTCCAAGAAGTGGAATAAAACACTAAGAAAAGAATAGCAGATACTTCAAATTATTGTCTAAAAACAACCAGCCTTCTGCCTAATTTTGGAACTAATCTACTTCATTATTCAATGCTGCCTTTTGGTAGGTGAGGGCGGCAAGCCTTAGTGGTGTAGGCAATATAACAGATGTAATGTTTGCTTCTTTCTTGTTACTCTTTATTTTCTAGGCTCAGTAGCATCTTTCATAGTAGCATATATGAAAATGAACTGGGACCTGCTTGGAGAACTGGCATTAGGAATCTTCTCCACAGTAGATGCTGTTTCTTTATTTCTCATGCACTTTACTACCAATATCTGGGTGTGCTATGCCAGCTACCTCATTTTCAAGGCAAGCTATATGCTCCTTATAACAATAGCAACGTAAGTATAAACCCTCACCTATCATGACATGCATAATACTTACAATACTTCAAGTTTACCTTGAGCATCCCTCATTTTACTCATCCCTCATTTTACTCTCATCTAGTACTAGATGCAAGTGTTCAGGTAAAGACAAGGACACTTAAGTGTCTACTTATGGTCTAAGTATCCTTGTAAACAAACATAAAGAAAAGTTATTAAAAGAGCACTCATCAATTGCCTATGCAGAAGTTAAACATAGTATAGGGTATATTTACTCTTAAAGGCCATAACAGCAAAGCATAAGTTACTTTCCCCTTGCACATATACTGGCATAGATGCAAAGTGAACCAGAGGGACAGCACAACTATCTTGGAAAAGCAGATCTGGGAAACCATATTCTAAAATCCCTTATGTCCAGACCACTTTGCTGATATATATAATCCTCAATGATATTACAATGTAAACATGAAATAAAAGAGCATGGGGCATTTAAACTCAAACAACACATCTAATGAGATCAAGTTATTTTGTTGTCAGAAACTGAAAATATAATATTCGCAAAACATTTTTATTACACCATTTATTGTATTGATAGTCTTTAGCATAACATTTTACCATACTACTTCTTTAACAAATAGCAAATGCACCTTTGTGTCAAAAGCCATAATGATCCAGTCAATTAAAAAAAATGAGAAAGAAAGAAAAAGCTGATAAAACTACAGGACATGACAAAACAATACTCATCTTTAACAAAGTCAATTAAACCCTCCACTTATATTTTGGTGGATTTTTAGTATATTATAGTAGAACACACCTGAACTACTTCAACATATTCTATAGAAAAAATAAAAACTTCCATCAAAAAGCTGCGAAAAATTAGTTCAAAGCATTCTGCAGGGATATTTGTTCAGATAAAAACTTGGGAGGTAAATATTGCTATGAAAGACTGTTGCCAAAACAAGATTTACATCAGAAAAAATGGTTTCAAGATATAACTATTACCATTACCATTATTTCTCTTTCTTGCCTTAATGAATAGTCTCTATCTCAACCTGTGAGTTCTAATTTTTCCCTCCTGATTCTCTCCCCCCATCCCACTGGGGGAGGAGGAAAGAGCACACAACTGCTTGGTGCTGAGCTGCACGCTGGGTGAAACCTCAGCACCTGCCTATGTCACCATAGGTTCCAGATCGCAGTCAACCTGAGCATGGAGCGCTATGCTTTGATGTTTGGACTGAACAACTTCATTGCACTGGTGATTCAGACCATCCTTACAGTAGTTGCTGTGGACTCAAAAGGCCTGGGACTGGACATCGTGACTCAAGTATGTGCTTGTTAACTTGCTTCCCTTTCATTATTCAGCCAATTCATCTTCAGAAGTTTACAAAAAGAAACTGTAATGCAAAGAATAATTTATTTCCCTTTCTTCTATAGAAATCAAGGCAGCACATCTGGTGTTAGCCTTCCTATTTGCCTTTTAATGCAGCATTTAAGATTTCTAATGATGAGAAACAACTTTCTAAAGGTGATGACTCCACACCTTAAATAACTTGGCCCTCATACCTCACTAACTTTTGCTAATTCATAGGGCATTGAATAACATCCTCTGCCCAAAAAATTAGGCTGGTTCTCAGACGTTGAATCAACATAATCCCACACTGTCAGGGGACCTCAAGACCATGAGACAGCATGGATTATTGAAATTACTTCAGTTCAAGGACACTTGCCTTCTAATTGCAGCTCAAGAGTAAACCTGATTGATATCTCAAGATGAATAATGCCTTGCTACCCGTGGTTTGGTCATTCAATCTGGCGTGGGATATCCTCTCCCACATCAATGTCCATAACTTCAATCAGACTAATTCCATTCACGACAGTCAGTTGAAACTTACCAACTTCAGCATTTTCTCATTTGGCATCCGAGAAGCTGAGGCAACTTCCTGCTCCCATGGATTTGAAGAAAATTAAAACTATCCAAATGTTCTCCATGGAGATAGCAAAAGTTACTTGGATAAATGAAAGATTAAATGAAAGATTAAAGATTAGGTCTTGAAGATTAAGGACAGGAACACCTACAGACTTCATAAACAGACTTCATAAATAGGCCGCTGTTGTTGGAAATACTGATTCAAATTCGTATTACATTTACTGAACCCAATGTGGTGATCTCAGTGAAATGTGCGAGTAAGAGCAGGAAAAGGACAAACTTGGACTCTTCACTTGCATGATTCATTACTGTGTGAGTAATGGACATGCTGTCTCTACATTTCACAATAATATAAAAAAAAAATCCTGTTCCTATCCCTTCCCCCCTCTGATGTTTAATAGGAAGTATAAGGATTGGGAACAACGTGGCAGTTCTCCATTCTTCAAAGTACTGCCTTCTGGAAAAGCTTGAGATTTCACTTAATGACAAAGCAAAAAGTTCAAACATTGAAACTATGTCAGAACATAGGTAAACAAAATTGTGTCTGTTTTCAGGAGAAGCAGTGCTTCTCAACCATGTGTTTTTCATCAATTTTTCTTTTTTTCTTTTTTTTCTTTTTTCCTCTAGTTTTTAATTTATGGTAGCTACTTTTCAGTCATAGCTGGGATTTTCTTGATCAGAAGTATTTGCTTGCTTGTCTCAAGAAAGTGCAACAGGAAAACAGTGAGATTTTGGAAAGAGCCTCAGAACCTCACTGAACATGAATCAAAAGAACAGACTGTAACCGGCTGTGCGACACGGCTGTAAGAGTTGGGCAGACTGCTCATGTGGCCCAGCCCTCGTGGGAGAGGAGCTCCTGCTGCAGCACACAGGGAACCACGATGCAAGAGGAACTTACAACGCAACCCCAAAAAGCTACGCTGAATCACTGCAGCACTTCCTTGCAACATATGCCAGCTTAAGATCAACATAATGGCACTGTACCAAGAATAAAAGATAAGTTACTTCAGATTCTTATTTATTTTCTTATAAATAGCTTGATAGCAGTAGTTTATACATAAAGAAAAGCACAGCAACCACCTTGGCATTATGCTGCGCACAACTGAAAAGATCGGAGTTCACTCTGCTTGCTTGTCTAGTTCTTGCAACCAGTGTTACCAAGCTGCTTCTATGCACACTTGCTCATGAGTGCATGTGCACCTATTCTCTACTTCTGCCCTTTGCATGTACCTTGCTCTGAGCTGAGGAGGAAGATATTGCATCATTATACTCTCTCCTACCCAAATACAGACAGTTCAGCGGTAGATGACTCCCTTAGAATTTAAAAGCCCACTACTGAAGCAGGCCTGGTACACATAAAAGCTGAAAGGCAGAGTTTGCACAACCTATCTGAAGGTCCGTCAAAACTCTGCAATGCCACAGTTGTTGTATTATCCTTGTCTGAAAGCAGCAACCTACACGGTGCACTGAATTCACAGCGATCTCAGCATGGAAGGGTAAAAAAAATTTGGATTCAGATCCCCACAGACCACTGAAGGTTGGCCGTGTCCCTTTGACTTCCACACTTAAGATATTTATAAACATTGATAAGATCCCCTCTGAGTCTTTTCTCAAGGCTGAACAGACCCAGGTCTCTCAGCCTGTTCTTGTAGGGGAGAATGCAGAATAGAGGCAGAAAAGAGGGATTATAAATGAGTTTGCATATTAAATACTTAGTTTGATACAAAAATATATCCACATGTTAAAGTTATTTCTGTACTGCAGTTTGCTTCAAGCTTGCAATACCTACATCTAACTAATAAAAGTAGAAAATACTTAGCATTTGCAGAATATTTTTCTTGTGGAGAGACAAGATACCATGTGTACAAACATTTATGCTTTTCATAGACTGGGCATCCCCTGCAACCAGCAAACTATCCAGGAGTGAGAGGGGGCAGGAAAGAAGTTTGCTTCAAGTCTCAAGAAAATCAGTGGGACTTAACCAAATGAAGACAGCTTTTTTCTAGTCCATTTGTTTAGTGCTGTGCATTGTTTCTATATCCCCAGTTGCAAAGTGGCTTTAAGTAGAACATTTTAACCAATGCAGCATAAAAGAAGGAGATGTACTTATTCTCTGCTAAACAGTATCTTGTTACTACAGAACTGCGTATGTGGAAAAAAGGAACTCGGTATTTCCTCAAGCTGTCTTTGGTACAAAAAGTTAAATATCTCCCTGCATCTGGTAAAAGGAAAGGGATTGGCAACATGCCAAACTTTGCTGTTATGTAAAAATATATTAACAGTAGTAAACTTCAGAAAAGGAGCTAGAAAAAAAAAACAACTGGTATAAATAACATTAAAAGTTCCTCTGTTTTGAATTGCTCACAGCTCGCCATCTTCCATGTACTGCCACTAAGGAGTAAAGGAACCAAGCAAATAGAATCACAGAATCACAGAATGGCCAGGGTAGGAAGGGACCTCAAGGATCATGAATCTTCAAACTCCTGCCACATGGCAGGGCCACCAACCTCCACATTTAATGCTAGACCAGGCTGCCCAGGGCCCCATCCAATCTGGCCTTGAACACTTCCAGGGACGGGGCATCCACAACCTCTCTGGGCAGCTGTTCCAGCACCTCACCACTCTCATGGTAAAGAATTTCCCCCTGACGTCCAACCTAAATCTCCCCTCCCTCAACTTAAAACCATTTCCCCTCATCCTGCAGTTATCTACCCTTTCAAAGAGTTGATTCCCCTCCTGTTTGTAGACTCCCTTTAAGTACTGAAATGCTGCAATGAGGTCACCCCGCAGCCTTCTTTTCTCCAGGCTGAACAAGCCCAGCTCCCTCAACCTGTCTTCATAGGGGAGGTGCTCCAGTCCCCTAATCATCTTTGTGGCCCTCCTCTGGACCCTCTCCAACAGCTCCCTGTCTTTTTTGTACTGAGGGCTTCACACTTGGACGCAGTATTCCAGATGGGGCCTTACAAGAGCAGAGTAGAGGGGAACAATCACCTCCCTGTCCCTGCTGGCCACCCCTCTTTTGATGGAGCCCAGGATACCATTTGCCTTCTGAGCTGCAAGGGCACACTGCTGGCTCATGTTAAGTTTTTCATCTTCAAGACAAGATTAGTATATGTAGCTTTTAGTTATAGAGAGCACTGTCTTCAGAAAACAGACAAGACTTTAATACACTTACATTCCTGTCCTCTAGAATTTCCAAAAAAGATTCTGGGGTTGGGAGTTTGGAGGAATATTTGAGAGGGGAACGGATAGGGAAGCTCTTAGGAGTGTTAGGAATGACAACAGAATCATAATCAGCAACACAAAGGTAAAGCCTCATGTTATCCTGAGTTTTTAGCAGCAAGACAGTGTTGATCCAGCAATCACTTACTTGTTTCATCCAAACGACTGAGATGCACGTGTGCTGCTGTGTGTTCATGTACGACACACATGATTTGAAGAAGCCATAATTGAGGCTTCCACCTCCCCTTGCAGCTGAGCTTATCATGAGGGACTCATCTCTCCTCTAAGCATGCCTCTGAGGATTCCACATAACCATTGCTATCCCAAGCAACAGCCCCATCTAAGAGCAGCACCAACTGCTCTTGAAGCACCACCAGGTTGGGGGACAAGTTTTCCATTAAGATACAGTCAAGCTGGTAAGGCCCATTCTGGAAAACAAAACAGCAAGAAAATTGCATCGTTTCATTCAAAGCCAGGAGGTATTAGGCAAGCATGGCGTGGGCTAGCAGAGAAATCCTGGCCAGCAGCCACCTTTCAGCCAGCCAGGTGATGGACCACCCAGCAGCGTTTTCTCCACACTTAATTTCATTTTTCAGAAGCTTTTTGTAAAGTGCAGGAAACACAAAAAGAGAGAACAGGCCTGCCTTCTCCAAACACTCACCTGTTATTGGAAATCAAGATCTGAATTTAGGGTTGGTTTTTGTAACCTTCCTCTGAAGTCGCAGCAATGCTACCTTAGTATACTATTTAGACTAAGTATTTTCAATGTTAAGACAGAGCTCATAGCATGCTGTAAGGGGGCTTTTATTGTCTGCAAAACACTTGCACTTAAGTTGTTCCACTTGACTCTCAGACAGACAGCCTCCCTGAGCACACTGAGAATCTAACGCTTTGCTCAGCCATTTATTCAGGAATGAGACTGGAATGGAACTTGATTCTTCCACTGAGATGCATCTCCTCAATTCTACGTACACCACTGAACAACCTTTGACATTACAGAGGCTGAAGTCCCACCACAAGTGCACCTTGATCCGAGCTGTTAATTTACAACTGTTTGTGATTAGGAGAAGTGTAGGGAAAGAAACACTGGCGAGAGTGGGGTCGGTTAAAAAGTAAACTTTCAGATGAGGTTTTACCAATTGTGAACAGTTTCTTGACAAATTTCTGGTGCGTTTGCTTTTTCACTACATTCTTACACAGGTTATGGATTGCTGGAAAGGAGCCATATGCAGCAGTTGGATTTATCCCACGCTCATCATCTGTGTGAATGGGTTTTTCTCCACAATGAGACCTTCAGAATCTTTTCTCACACCTTACCTAACCGGACCAGACAAAAACCTAACAGTTGAGCAGGTATGTAACTGTTCTCTGAAGTAATAATTGAAGTGTCTAAGGCAGTAAGCCTTTGGTTATTGCTGTAAAGGGAGACAAAGCGTTCAGCAAAACATGTATATTTTGTATAAAAATTCACATTTAAGATCGTGCTGGAGAAGGATAAGGGTTCTCCTCTTTTCAAGGAGGTAAACATTTTGAAGTTCCAACATTCCTGGTATTTAAAGCCAAATTTGGATGTTGTTTGAATAAATGGATTCTTTCAGCAAAATCAGGTCAACCAGATCCCCTCTCCCAAGAGAAACCCAGGAGGAGCAACACAGACCTATTTACTCTTATTGTGGCACTAGTTACATTAACAGTGAAGTAGTTTTGGAGAGAAAACAGAAACAGACTTTGACTGATGAGCTGTCAGATTATTACCTACAAGGTCTGCTCCAAAAGTAACGCCTCCTGTCTTATTATTAGGTTGCTCCACAACATCAGAAGCAGATGGTGGTGGTACAGCAGTTAAACCTTCCCACCAATATCCCTTTACATTTTGTTGCTGTGTGACAGATGGCAGCAGAGGGGCAGTCTGAAAGAACAGTGTCTGACATGGAAGCATGTGTGAAACAAAGGGGTGCCAATGAATCCCTCCACGTGGAATGAATTACACCCACTGACATTCATGGACTCTTGCTCAACGTGTACGGAGACCCAACAGCGAATGCGAGCACAGTGAGGTGCTGGGTGGTGCATTTCAAGCAGTGCTTACAACAGCAGTGGGTCAACTCCACTGGTGCAGATTTTTACAAGCACAGCATGCAGGCTCCTTGCTGACAAAAAAAAGTACAGCAAATGGTGGTGACTATGTGGAAAAATAGAATTTTGTAGCTGAGAACTTTCCCTATCAAATAGTGTTATTGTGCTGCCTGTATCTGTTGTGGTTTCCATGGTAATAAATACAAAGCAATATCTTCAGAGTGATCTATATTACAAGGCTGCATATTTATCTATACAAGACAGATTCACATTTTAAAGTATTTTTAATTATTTTTTTTTCTATTTACTTTTTTTTGTTGTTCTTTAAAGCATGTTTCTAGAGCACACTTTGTAACAGAAGAGGACATAGTTAACAAGTGAGTCATGAATTTAATGATATAATTAGAAAACACAAGCTTCATACACCCACATACTGCAAGTATGAAGAACAGCCATTCCTGACTTGCCCTTGCAAATGTTAAGGCAGTGTTAGCATAGCACAAAGACCAGATTTTTTTCTGAAAAATGACTTTTTTTGTGGAGTAGAGAGTAATTTGTTTGTTTGTTCTCCTGGGGAGGTATTATTATTTCCTTCTGAACCATAAAGGGAAATTATCTATGTATTTCATGTAAGAGAGGTCCTGATAGGATACCTACTTCTGATCTCATCAACAATCTACTCAGAATTGACAGTACAGGCTTGCTCTTTCCGTTATTCCATGGGTGTCCAATCTTTTGGCTTGCCTTGGCTGCACTGAGTGAATAGAAATCATCTTAGGCTCCATATACATTAGTAGCTCCAAAAGCAATGCCTCTTATTTATTTCCATGGAAAATACAACAGATACAGACAGCACAATAACACTGTGTGATAGGGTTTGAATTTTGTAAATTCTCATTTACAAAACACTCTTTTTCCATACAGTCACCACCATCCGCTGTACTTTTTTTTTTTTTGGTCAGCAAGGAACAAGAGCCCACATGCTGTGCTTCTAAAAAATCTGCACCAGTGGAGATGACCCACTGCTGTTGTCACCGCTGCTGTAATGCACCACCCACTGCCAGGCCTCCATACACATTCAGCAAGTGTCCATGAATGTCACTGGGTACCATAGTTTCTACATGGAGGAATTCAGTGGCAAATCTTTGTGCTACGTCACACACTTCCACATCAGATGCCATTCTTTCAGACCGCCCCTCTGCCACCATTGTTGGCAAGGTTCAACTTCTACTGCCATCCCTCCAATATCCACCTCTGACATCATGGGCCACCACCATAACATAGGAGGCATTACTTACACAATGGTCCTCATGCAATATATAATATTGTTATTGTATGTAAAATAAAAAAAAATTAAGATACATTTTCAATTTTTTTTTTTTATTACAATACCTAAAAAAAACCCAAAACCATAAGATGAGTGGAATTTTAGACCTTATCTTTGTGAACCAGACTGATGCTTTAGTTTCAATGGCAATGGCTGCATCTCTTAGTAAATTCTCCAGGTCTTCAGCAGAGATTTTTTTTTTTTTTTTTTTTATGAAATTTGACTGTTCCTGTGCTTCATCCTTCAAAATTTTTCACTGTCTCTCTATAGATTCCATTTGAAAATTCACAAATAACATTTATGTTGACTGAAAAAGGAGTAGCAAATGGAAAAAAAAAAGATGGCTTTTTTTTCCCTATAATCTTGAAACTTCCTGTGAAATTCCTTGATTAAAATGGAAAGCATGGCCACATATATTTTGCCATCCACAGAACTATGTTTATCCTATGTATCAAAATCCATGAACTTACTTGCCATTATTTGAACTGGCACTGTAGTACCCCATGTCCCGGGTCCAGCCCAGACAGGGTTCACAGCACACTGTTGTTGGGGTGCTGCTGAGGGGCCAGGCTGCTCAGCAGGGCACCACCACCACTGCGATGACACACACACAATTTATTTTCAGGCCATCAATGCATAGAACACCAACTGAAACTTACTCAAATAAAGCATCATCAAAAGGAATGTGTTTTTTTTTTTTTTTTTTTTAAATTAGAGGAGAGGTGATCAGAGGTATACAATTCAAGCAAAACTTGAAACTGAATGGGTACTAATTTTCAGTTACTGCAGGGAATGGAATCTGATGCAAGATAGATTTTGCTCTGACGCAAGCACAGTTCTTCTAGGTTACCAATCAGGTTTTCCCAGTGTGGACATACTCCTACCTCGCGCTCCTCGTCCCCGTCTTCCTGATCACTGACTACGTGCGCTACAAGCCCATCCTCCTCCTCCAGGGCATCAGCTTCATTGTCACGTGGCTCCTGCTCCTCTTTGCACACGGGCTGGTGGCCATGCAGGTGATGGAATTCTTCTACGGGATGGTGACAGCCACTGAGGTTGCCTACTACGCCTACATCTACAGCGTCGTCAGCACTGATCACTATCAGAGAGTGACGAGCTATTGCAGGAGTATCACTCTCATTGCAGCCACCCTTGCTGCCGTGCTGGGACAGCTCCTGGTTTCCTTAGCAGACGTATCCTACTTTCACCTCAATGCCATTACTCTGGCTTCCGTGTCCCTGGCCTTCGTGTGCTCCTTTCTCCTCCCAATGCCTCAAAAGAGCATGTTCTTCCATAGGAAAGGCAGCTCAGAAACCCTCCCACAACCAGACAGAGTTGTGGCTGAGCTCAGTTCCAACACGTCATTGAGCTGCCAAGAGGACCAGGACTGTGCAGCTGCTGACACGGGACCGAACCCAGCACAGCAGGCTCAGCAGCCCGAGCCCCAGCACCACGTGCTGAGAGTCCTGGTGCAGCTGGGCAAGGACCTGAAGGATTGCTACAGCTCTAGGAAGCTTCTTTACTGGTCCCTGTGGTGGGCTTTGGCTACAGCAGGCTATAACCAGATTTTGAACTACATCCAAGTGCTGTGGGACTTCCGAGCTCCATCTCACAGCTCTGCAGTGTACAATGGAGCTGTTGAAGCAGTGGCAACATTTTTAGGTAAGTAAAAACACTAGCAACTACTTCTAATTTGTCCCGTCCTGATAGCATCCTTCAGTAATGTCTTTGGTGCCTATTTCCTGTGAGGATCAAGGTCAGAGGATATAGTGTAAAAATTGAAGTATATTAACAGAAACTGCACTAGGAAGTGTTTCAATAGCAGACTAAACATTTCAAGGTGAGTGATCCTAGACAAACATTTTGTGACTGCATCCATATTCTGATCAATGAGTTCATCTCCAGCTGTGACATGCAGAGAGAAGGTGAGAGCTGTAATTGTTTAGCAGTAAGACACGGGATCTTATTAATTCACATAAATAACTGAAGAGGGAACTAAGAAGAGTTGAGCCAGACTCTTTCCCACAAAGCCCAAAGACTAAATAAGAATAAATAAGAATTCTAGAACTGACTGAACACTGAAGCAATTTGCCCAAAGCACTGGAGGAGGAGTCTCCATCATTCAAAACCCTGATGTATCCTGAGCAGCTTGCTGAAATTGACCCTGCTCTGTGCAGTACCAAAGCAATCTCCAGAGTCCTCCAGCCTCAGCTATTCTGATTCTCCTGCTACTACTTGACTCATCCAAATGACATTCCTCTTTACCTGTGTGCCTTCTGTTTTGTGGCAACTTCAAAGTGCAATTTCATTTAAATTACTGAGCAGTACAATTGGAGCCTCATTCCCAAGCTCACATCTACACAATTACATCTCCTTCACACCAACAGCCTTATCTCAGGCTTCTACATGGAACTGCCAGTATATTTATACCAAATTTTGCTGAAGCTTCCAAACCTTCAAGACAACTGGTTTGAGCAGCATTCCCAAAAGATGCTTTTGTATCCTGTAGGACTTGATACTAAATCAAAGTACAGAAATCATTTAACATTAACAGGAACCTCTGGTTATAGTAGTTATGAACCAAAGGAGGAGACCTACTATGACTTTTTAATTATGCTGAAGAATATATACTGTCAGCAAATGAAGTCGATGAGTCCTGCCTGAAAACATCTGGGCAGCCAGTAGTACCCTGTGAACTGTTAAGTCTCACAGCTGTATGACGTGCCTAGATCAGATGTGGAGCTTAAGTTGCTTCCTATTGCACTCAAAATAAGGGCTTTTGATATACACAATTATCAATAAAGGGTTGACAACTAATGAGTTTTTTCCAACAGAAAATGAAGCTATGCCTCAAAGTATGAAGGAATGCAACAGATTTTCCAATTCATGTACAGATCTTCATGCAATGAACTCCACTATGCAGATTTTAACAGAAAGTGCTTGGTGAGGTTGTCCTTACTCTCAGTTGTCAAAAATGGAACAATACACCATAAACTGCTGCCTCCAGCTCTCAACATGAGGCACTTTCGCAGAGTACTTCAGCTTGAGAAAGCTCTATAAGCTACAAAAAAAAAAAAAGAAAACTTAGAAGACTTATACAACACTTGTAGAAAATAGATAGAACCCATTCCATTATCAAAGCCCATTGTGCCCTAAGAAAAGGGCTCAAGAGCTCTGAGCATGGTTGATTTGCACAGTTATGCCATAACTCTAGAAGGACAGTAATATTTATTATTTTTATGTTTAGGCTCAGCAACATCCATGGCAGTTGGATATGTCAAAGTAAACTGGGATCTTACTGGAGAACTGGCTTTGGGAATTTTCTCTGCAATGGATGCTGGTTCTCTGTTTCTCATGTACTTTATCGACAACATCTGGGCATGTTACGCTGGTTACCTTGCATTTAAGGCATGTTATATGCTCCTTATAACAATAGCAACGTAAGTATAATGCACAACTGTTCAGTCAAGTTGATTCAGATCAGTAAAAATATCATACTTTCACATTAATAGAGTAAATAAGTTCCCACTGAAATAGGATTTTTAAATAGGTAATGATAGGAAAACATTGTTTCCAGCTCACATGAAATCACGCTTAGAAGTACAACTCAATCATTACAACAGCTTATTCCAAATAAGTTCCTTCTGCTGCATTTAGCTGTCCAATGCTTTATGTGCAAGTTGTCTTTCAACAATCAAGCAAACATACACAGCTCCTCACTTAGCAAAAATATCCACTCAAATTAGGTAATTAGGATGCATAATTGCGTGACAAATAGAGGGAGAAAAAATTTTGCCAAAATGAACATGTTAAAAACTTAATAGCTTTTTCCTGTCATGACTCCATTGTACACATGAAACAATTCCCAAATTTTCTCCCATAACCTGCAAGCATACAAGGTTCACCGTAGCTCAATTAAGCCGTACATTCATTTTCAGGTTCCAGATCGCTGTTAATCTTAGCATGGAGCGTTATGCTTTGATGTTTGGCTTCAACAACTTCATTGCACTGGTGATCCAGACAATTTTAACTATTGTTGTAGTGGATCCAAACGGTCTGGGACTGGGTATCAGCACCCAGGTAAGCCAAATCACTCACACTTCTCTCATATTCCTGCACTCCTCCAAAAGAAAGTTCTAATACAAGTTTGGACTCTTGGAAGATATTAGTAGATGGGTTCGCTTAGAGCAGTTACCCACTTCATAGACAGTGAACTGGTATTAGATGCTACTGTCTCCCTGTCCTCTACTCCCATTAGTGTTGCATTTCAGTCATAACTTCAAGAACATTTTCCTAGAGCAGAAAGGAAAGAATACCACCTATTACTCAGTTCTCAGGCTTACTACTGACAAGTCCATTATAAAAACACCCTAAACAGAAGCAGGAACCAACCTGAAAAAATAATTCATGGAGCTTTATTACTAGGTTAATTTTAAGTTGGATACACTTTCAAGTTACATCAGTTCTGAAAATTGAGATTTTCTGCTCTACAAACTCAGAGTTTATACACACACTCATAAGGTCCAAGTCCCTAGCTTTCATCTTCTCAGAAAAGAGCTAGAAAGTACAGGGTAGTGGCCCTTCTCCATTTCTGAGGCACAGATGAGAAGTAACTAACAAAGTATTCTCTCCTCCTCCCTTTGTAACAGCAGACTCTAATGAATGAGGTCAAGCAGGTGGACTATCATCATTTCAAGATGAGATCATTCAGGAGCATGGGTGGCAGGAAGGGGAAGAAGGTAGCACAGGGTCACCCCTTAAGTTATTACCCAACAACAACAAAAGAAAACAGTTCTTGATATTCTTCATTTTCTCCCCATTTCTCAGTTTCTCATTTACAGCAGCTACTTTACGTTCATAGCTGGAATTTTCCTGATCAGAAGCATATACACCATTATCTCCATGAAATGCAGAAATACCAGCATGGCTGGTGAGCCCACTGGTCATTAAGGAATGTTGCAAAAAGATGAAAAGAATGACTGCAAGCAACACTTCAGAAGACTGCATCATCTAAACAATTAACTAGGGGAAACTTCATGCTCAACTAAACCTGTGCCTGTCACACAACCAACCAGACTTATGAGCCTCCAACATAAAGAGCTTCTTAAACAGGAAGATGCATTTTCCTGGTTTCCTTCACCAGTAAGTTCTAATACCAAACAATCCTCAATCTTCCATTTCAACTCAAATTCAGTTATGCAGTCCTGATGTAAAAACTTGTATTTTTGTTTGATGGATTGTCTCCCTCTACTCTGCCCTCATGAGGCCCACCTGATGTACTGCATAGAGGTCTGGAGCCCCACAAGAAAGACGTGGAGCTCCTAGAACAGGCCCAGAGGACAACCATGAAGATGACCAGAGGTCTGGAGCACCTGTCCTACAAAAAAAAGCTTGGGCTTGAAGAAGAGAAGATCTCATTGTAGTTGAATGGAGCTTAAAAGCTGGAAAGGGACTGACTTTTTACATGGTCTGATAGTGATAGAACAATGGGGAACAGCTTTCAACTATTGAGAGAGCAGAGATTTAGATTACACGTTAGGAATAAGTTTACTCAAAAGGCAGTGAGGCACTGTCAGAGAAGATGTGGATACCCTGATCCCTGGAGATGCTCAAGGCCAGGCTGGATGGGGTTCTGGGCAGCCTGAGCTGGTGGAGGACAGCCAGCACACAGTATGGGGTTGAACCTCCATGATCTTTAAGGCCCCTTCCAACCTAATCCATCCTGTGATTTTATGAACACAATAGGAGAAAATTGCATACAGATACTTGAATCTCTCAGTGGCAGAGCTTATAGAACATCAGAGAACTTTCACTTTTGCTGAATATTTTAATTAATAATTTTATTTACTCTTAGATACAAGGCATTCAAACGTTCCTGGGGAGCCTAAAGAAGCAACTGTCCTACAGCAGCACACAGATCTGTAAGACAGGTTGCCACAAACTTTTTGGACACTTGCACTTTTTCAACTGGAAGTTCTGACATGAATTTTTAAAGCAAGTTAATACAAATAATAATCAACCTTTCCTCACTCCACCTCAGCCTACAAAGATGCTACCACTGTATGTTCAACAATGGATTAATACATTCTCACAAATGACCAAACACATTCACTTCAGGTTCCACAGACAATGAATCCCTTCTATATCTAAAGTTGTGGCATCAAGAAAAATGCCATTTTGTTCAGAAAATGTTCCAGATGCAGTGACAGCAGGACTGTGAATCTGTTGAAGATGTCTTGTACTCATACACTGGCTTTCCCTTTTAAAGGTCTGTCTTGATAAAGAGCTCTTAGCTTAAACAGTCAGCATACACCTTCATTATGTATGGTTCATGGAGGTTTTCATAAAACTTATCTTTGGAAGCAAAAAAATCTCCTAAACTAACTTCGTATTTTTAAGGAAGCCATTGGCAGATACTTCAATTCCAATACAAGGCAGTCTTAAATAAAAACAGTTAAAAGTTTAGATACAACAACAGCTTATCAGTGACTTCTTTTGACTACGTTCAATAAACAGGTACTTTGGAGTCATTTCTATGAGATAGCAGCAGTTTTCATTATGTTCCTCTACCACAAAGTACAGATTAGTTAAGAGCAAGTAGTAATAGACATTTCCCCTATTCAGCTCACCAGAAGAAAACCATAACAATTCATTCCTCTAAAAACATACTTTTTAAAAACAGCTTGGGCTTCCCTTTATGACCCAGGAAGTTCTCCTTTCAACAGAGAATGTTCAGAGACAAGCACTTGTCCAAAGCTTAGTTACATCCATTTAGATGAATCAATTTGGATGAAGGAAGTACAAGATCGTTTGATTGATTTGGTTCAGTTCTCATCAGTAAGTAAATCTAAGCGTTCCACAGATCCCTCTAAGTCCTTGCAGATGCCCACTCTTTACTGCATGCATGTGTTATTATTCCAACATTATTCCAATATTCTCAACAATAGAGAAGTCTAGTTATTATGCTAAAAGCAGTGAAGCACTGCTAGCACCATGAAAACAGTCAAATGTTGGGAATTTGTTTAATGAACTCACTCAAAGAGAATTACTCCATGCACCATATTCCATCCATCAGTCCTTGTCAGAAGAAAAAGGAAGACTTCAAGTCTTTTAACATCAAATGCATCAACAGGCCAGAACAGACCTTTAAGCAAAGAATACTACCTATATGCAACTTATTATATCCACTGTCCTAAAACTTAAAAAAAAATAACACATGGAAATTACCATTCCCCACACATAGGCAACACTAGTCAGAAACACTGGCATATGAAGAGCATTTTCACAGGCAGTGATCATATCTGCCAGTTCCCCAGAAGACAAGCACATCTCTACTCAGGCAGATGACTACAAAAAGTTTCTTACCTTGAGGAATTCTCCCATTTATTTCAATCAGCTCACACACTCCTTCTCAAAAATCTCTAATAATTTGATCTCATTTATTCCTGTTATTTTTAAAGTTAGAACTTTATTCTTCAGCTGGCCAGAAACCCTCCTTTAAGCTTGAGGTCTGGGTACTCACAGCATGTGTACATTAATTGTTTAATTTCAGTGTTATGCTTGAACATAAGCCCAGTTATCAGTGTTTAAATTCCACCACTGATTACTTTGATGCTTGCATTCTTCTTGCAACTTCTCTACCATAGATCAGACAAGCCAGACGTTTCTTCCTCTACAAATACTATGCTAAGATGGCAGAAAACATTCCAGAAAATTAAGAAATCCAATCAATTAACTTAGTGTTCCACTGGAGGTCTTACTAATATACACAAATTTTAATAAAAAGAACTACTCAATCTGTGGTACCAAGGTCATGTGTACTGTTGTGATCACAGCTAAGTCACGTTCAAAGACTCCATCACTAGCTGTGAGCAGCTGTCTTTCAGCAACAAACCATTTTTCAAGTCACTACTCACCTCAGTGCTCTCAGTGTCCTTCATTATATAGCTATTATCAGAGTTATGTAAGAGTTCACGTAAACTCATTCCTGATAGATAAGCCACTTCACTTGAACAGCACGCTTAATCATGAGGACGTATTCAAGACTGTAGGATATGAAAATTGAACTTAAATTACTTCTGAGCACATCATTTCTGATAGATCATTTGTGTATGAGATTCACAATATGAACATTCTAACCCAAATAAGTGTTACTGCACAGAAATAAAGCTACACTTCTTTTTTCTAATATTTATTTTTTTTTTTCCACCTGCAAACTGTAGCAAAACATGATCAGCTTTATTATGCAGACAGGTATCCCTCTAACATTAGAGATTTAGGCATGTATAAATAGAAGAGCTCTTAGGAAAGGAAAACATTTTGAGAAATGAACAAACCTTCAATTTAATTTCATGACTTCCAATACCAATGGTTAAAATGATGTAGCTCATTCATTCCAAGAGATACAACAGCACCTTAAAGTGGCTGATCTATTTCCCAGTAACATTTTTCACATAACAATGTGTTAAAGTTACAAATACTGATATGCACAAATAGCTATTTTCTAAGAAAAATATGTACAGTACTGCAGCATAATGAATGTGGTATCTGCAATAACTTATTAGCCAATTTTAATATACATGATACCGCTACTTTTTTCCTGCCAGTTCACAGGTCCAAGGATGTTACCACAGCCCTCTGTTTTGCACATCATTACCTGGGGAGGTGGAAGGGAGGGGGTTGATTTTCTTTGTTTGCGTGTGTGTGTGAGGGGAGGGGAATGACTCCTTGTTGGGTTTTTCGTGTTCTTTCCCCCCGCCCAAAGGTACACAATGCAGGCTTTCATTTTAACTTCTTAAAGACTTCTTTTGTGTTTAAAGCTAATATCAGTGAAACAAGACAACAGTGCAAGAGGCGCAGAGATGTTATGTGACCACATAAGAGTTCTTTTGGGTAAAGTGTCTATAAGGCTATAAGAAAGGATTGGTTGATGAGTTTCCTGCTGGAAATTGTCCTGTTGGTGCACCAGCCTGAGGAAAACAGAAAGAATAAAATAAGAAATTTTTCTAAATCACAAATCATAAATACAAGGTATATGAAACAGAACAAATTATTAAGAAATATTTCTGGTTTGCGTTGTAGGTTGTTCTTTTTTTTGGTGTATGTTTTATCTAAATATATATTACTGTAGGACTACAGTATATTGATACTTCTATTTTGATTTGAGCAGCCTCATAAATGCCACAGCATTGTTATATAGAATTGCATTTAAGAGGTTCATATGTTGCCTTCCCTTATTTGAAGCAAAAAAATCATGCATCTATAATTATTACAGATTATGCTTTTTCAGACATGCACAGGTTATTAATATGCAATAACTCACCATAAAAGGGTTACTAGATACTCCAACAGCTGCAACTTGTCCAAAAGGAGTTACTACAGGCTTTGCCTGTCCAAATGCAGCAAAACCTGCACCTTTGAAAGATAATAAAGTATTACTACCAGCTATCAATCTTCAATTAAGTTATATGCTGTAAGCTTCCAAGCTAAAACAAAGGGAAAGCTTGGACTGCACCAGTCAGCAGGATTTATCTTACCTAACGAGAGTAGTTTTAAGAAGTTCTAAATACTAAGTTTTCACTTAGTAGCTTAATCTATTTAGACTCCTCACATACATACTTTCATTTCAGTTCTTAAGAAACACGTATTAGCAAGATCAGTTCCCAATTTAAACATGCAAAAGTTCTCTCTCTCTTCCCAATCTCTTCTCTAGCCAAGTAACATGAATGTTGAAATTCAAAGACTAGAATTTTCAAATTCAGTAAGAGCTTTGGGCATTGCACCTGAAAAGCAACAAATGTGGTATGAAAATTTGAATGAGTTTAGCTCACGGCTTGCTTCTGTTTACCAGTTCAGAACACAGCTATTAAGATCTCAGCACCCTCAGTGAGAGCTACTGCTACACACTTCAGCTGTATTATCACGTGAGCATCCTTAATCTGCCTCAGAATGATGTCACATGGATAACAAATTAGAAGTGATCCATATTCAGTGCTCTACTAAAAAGTAGAGTGTAGTAATAGCAATGAAATATATACGCTTGTCTGCAGGAGTTTTCACTCAGGTAGACAAGCAGCCTAAATTACATCTGCTTATGTTTTCTCCATAAGTTTGCTTCGGTGAATTACTGCTTTTCTATTAACACTGCCATTAACAGTGCACTCTGAGATAATATTTATGAAGTATTCATACTATCAGTATTAGTTACAGCATCTTTAGATGTTAACGCTCAGGAGCACTGTGCAGTAGAGCATCAGAGAACTGTTTTTTTAAAAGCTTAAACACGATACACATCAGCATCAAAAAGCTACTTTTTTTAACAAGAGAAAACTTGCAAAATCATACAATAAGATACCATCAGGAAAGCATAAAAATTATAGCTGAGTTTTTTGCTCAGTTGAAACTGTACAGAACTAATGAATTCCTGATTTTTACATACAAGCTTTTTCTAATGTTGCTTCATCATTTAGATTTTGGGAAAAAGCATTCGGATTTTCTCTTGCCTATGCTCTTCAAGTTATAGAAAATATTGCAACCTGTTGCAGGCACACTCTATATAAAGATCAAACAATCCTCGCATTTGGAATTGTTACATCTCTGAATATTTTAATTTTATATGAATTATGGTGAAGTTTCAGTTTCATTACTGCACAGTCAAGCCTGAATACTAACTACAGAGCCAATGGAGTGCTGTGTGAGCGGAACCACTCACTAATTTAACTACAACGTTCATATAGAAATAAATATGCACTTGTTATCACTGACTTAATTTCTTTAAAACAGAAACATGGAGAAAGTGATCTAAAGTGTATAGACCTACCATTTGGCTGCTGAGCAAAAGCAGTCTGTTGGGGGAAAGCTGCTTGGGTTGGGAATGTAGGCTGCTGGAAGTTGCCACTAAAACTAGTAGGAAGACTGTAGGAGGCAGGAGTTCCAAATCCTGCAGGCATGCTCATGGATGCAGTACCAAATGTTGCTGCTGGCAGGCAAAAAATAACATTCAGTTATTTGTAAGAAATCACTTTTCCCATAAGATGTTACTGTAATGCCATATTAAGAGTCTCCAAATGACTCAACAATCATAAAAAAGTTCTGTTTAAACCCTGCATCCACTGATTTGTTACCTTGAATCACCACAAATTAAGTACATCATTTACTTTTGCATTTCAAAATTAAATGAAATCATTTAACATTTGCTAGATCCAGTACAGATAGGCTTTCTGAAAAATTGTTTTCCATACTTTCTACACTAAATACTTAGCCCTGAGGTTTTACTGGAAAAAGTCAGCACGCATTAGAAGCAAGCACTTCCAGGCAGCACAAGCCCTTCTTTTTCTCTACCAAGGAAAGCACAGCAGTATCTTCCTACTTCAAGCTGCATTACAGTAAGTAAAAAAAAAAAACAACAAACTTAAGGGATACATGCATCCCATCCTTATTGTCACTTTAAGGGAAATTCTCACCATGCATATTACTTCGCACACAAAGTTCCTAGTGCAAACACTCTCACTGTTGAAGTAACACTTGAAACAAACAAAAAAACAAATCTTCATCTGATTCTCTGCTGAAACATCTCAAGTAAAGAACGTAACAGCACATATACAATTCTACATGCCTTCAACAAAAACAGGAGCACATCAAGTGCAAAAATATAGTAACAAAACCATTATTCAGTCTTTTGGGAGTTATGATTGTAGGGAAAAGCATATGGAAAACCTTTTGGTACAAATAGTACCATCATCAGGTATTTTCTTCTAATTCAACAATAAACAAGACCACTCTTTCAAACTGATAAATGTTAAATTTGGGGGCTTGTATAAGATGTATGTGAAGTTTAAAAAAATCAGGATATTTGATCAATTTAGCTTAATTACTGGTTCAAAAATTCACCCCAAAAGTATTCAAGGGCAAGACATTACATACACAAACTACAGGAAAAGTGCACACAGAACTAATGTACTGACATCGTTATAAAGTAAAAATTAGAGAAAATATTCATCAGGAAAAGTTGATAGAACAGTAAACAAAATCACAACAAATTGAGCAGCAACTTGGGATATCACAAAAGGTATCAAACTACTGTTAAAACAAGCGACAAGAGTCACTCAAACAGTCATTCTAACGTGACAGTGGAGGATATCAATAATGGTTTTGTTTTAGTTGCTTTATAGATTTCTGTGCTCTTCTCTCCTTTTGTTGAGTTGCCAGATACCCACACCCACTGCATTATAAAACATGTAAGGCTTCTGAAATTCTACGCGCAGAGAACCAGATAGCTGCCAATAAGGTTTTACAAGCAAGAACAACTAGCCACAAGAAACTTTATACCAAATGTGGCCACCTACCAAAATGAGCGTGAGGAAATATGTGAGAGTGCATTGCTCCCGAGAGGCCTTATGGAAGCCACAAAGAGACCAGACAATGTCAAATCATTTATACACTATTGAACAGTAATTTCTTAGATGACTACTAATATATATATATACACACACAGAGCAAACAATTCAACCATAGCATTACCTGTGTCAGATTAAGTCAAGTCATTAGAAATAATTGCTACAAATCAGATGGCCCTTGTAATAAATAGTTCATGCAGAAAACATTCAACTTAAAAGGACAAGCCACAAGTTTACATCTTATATTAAAAGGGGTATGATATTATCATTACTTCTAGTCATCATTTCTTATTTAGTACATTGTACATCACTACTGCTGAAAATGTGCTAGAACCTCTGCAAGTCAAGAAAGGCTGTTTAGAAGGCAGAATGATAGTTACCATATTTAAAAAAATGATGTAAAACAGATTAATCTAGATATCTTTCATAATTTGCCATTGGGTGGAAAGTTCAAGTTATCTGCTTCCTACTTAGAGTGCTGCATCTAAGGGCTCTAAAGCTCCTAAATAAGATCCAAGAGAGCAAAGACTTCAACTTATTCAGCTATTTAATGAATGAACTAAATTATATCTCAAAAGTGACTCAAACATTTTAGCAGAGGACGTGAACATGATCAACTCAGCTTTAAGTCAGCCTGAACAGTGTAATTCAGCCTACCTAGAACTTTGATAAAGCACAATTCAATGTTAAAATACATACACATCAGCAGACCTAAGTCTATGCAAGGCCAAGTGGTGCAGAAAAGCACTAAAGTTTAGCAGCATCATTAGAGAGGAAAGTTATCACAGTATGACATCCACCTAAATCCATGACTGATGCTCTGTAGATTAATGCAAGATTTTTGTTATTAACTTTCTTATTTTAAATATGATCAAGTTTTTTATCTATGGAATTAAGACACTATAGAGTCCTCCTCCAGAAAATTAATGTAAATTTTGAGTACTGTACATTTATTGTTACAAAAGGGGAAAAAAAGGCTATCAATTCACCTACTTCCATCTGTGTATTCACTTCAATCGATTTCTGATCCCATTTAAATGGTTTTCTCTGCTTCTCAAAAGTTTTATTCCAGACACAGCTGAGTATCAGCATACAGGCCCTGCATGCCTTATGTAAATTTCAGCTAAAGTAGAGTGAGACTTTCCATTTTGTTACAAAGCTGAAGAGTTTAAGACTTTTGTGAAATACATTCCAGAATGTTAGATAGTTAGATAGTGTTTTGTTTTTAAATCCACCCCAAAAACAATAAGTAACAGCAGCAAAATATTAAATTCAGAAAGATACTGAATCAAAACAGTTAACAGGGAAAAAATACGAAGGTAATTCAAAGCTTCAGTTTCTCTGCTGTAGTGTATTTGTCTAAATCTAGGCACCTTCTTAGATATGCCACCTCTTTTACCTCCACTTTATCCATTTAACATCCTGTAGAGGTAACAGGTGTAGATTGATGAGTATAGAATAACTGAACTTGTGAAAAACTAACAGCCCAAAAGCTTCATAGAATGGTTTGGCTTGGAGGGGACCTTTAAGATCTTGTTCCAAACCCCCGGTACAGGCAGCGACACCTCCTACTAG